TTTCCAGCGTCATAAGCCATGGTTTATGAAGCCAGGAACAAGCATCAGGAATGAATGCTTCTCCTCTGCTTCTCCACTCCTCCAACTGTGCACTGGGTTCTTTGGTATGAAAAGTCTAGTTTGTATTAAGTCAAAGTTTCCTGCTATGTCCAAACCAGTGAACTCTGTCTAAATGTCAGCAAACCAAGAAAACAAGTGAGGATGTGATCCTGGCTTTATTTTCCTGGTTTGCTGATAGGTAATGGAGTACAGTATCCCGGAAAAAAAGCATGCCTGCATACTGAAAAGGAGTGTAAAGGCAATGAAAAATCAGAAAAGACTGGTAGGAGAGATTTCACATGCTTATTTAATTATTGTTAATGGTACGTTTCTTAACACAAATGTGCAGATAGCTCAGCCAAGTCTACATTATCTTCACATCAAACATCATGGGTGCCCATCTATATCCAGAACAGATGTGGAGCTAAGGAATCAAACTGCGCCATGTGCACAGGACTGATTCCAAAGAGCAGAATAATTTTCGCTAGGCCTATTTCTGTGCCTTTCTGCTACTGGGTGGCACCATACATCAGTTATAAAACACATGATTTGCATGTGGAAGAGCCTAGGTTTAACCCCTGGCACCTCCAGATGAAAAATAAATAAATAATGTGATGGGGAAAATCTCTTTCTGGGGTCTGAAATAACTTTTCCCAGACAGAATACTCAGCAATAGGCTAGATGGACCAAGAGTCTGACCACCTATAGTATGTAACAGGTATAAAAATCTTCATTGTAGTCAGAAGGATCTAGCAAGATCTGCTAGGCATTGCAGCTGGTCACAGTCACCTGTGTGAATTCAGATACAAGATGGAATGTACAGTAACAAACACTCATTATAGAATATATTACAACGATAGAAAATGGATCGGTCCATTATTGCTCCATTATTTTCTTATAGCTTCAAGTAAAAGCAAATGCAAGTGGGCTAGACGTGAACTAATAAGGTTGTTCTAATTTTGCTATAAAATGCAAGCTGTTTTCCCACAGCTCCTGAATTTCTCCTGATTCCTGTGACAGAACAAATACAGGAACCCATTTTTTCTGTTAAAATAATAAGTGTATTATTTTCAATAGCAAAGAGGCATGGAAAACATTTAACATTGTCAAGCAATCTGCCCATGGTCAGACACAGTAAATATTTCTTGTGAAGGACACTAGTGAAATGTGAATATTTGTCATTTTTGTTGCTGCATAGTCCCCTGAGTACAGGATGAAGAGTTTTTGCAGAATGCTTAAAAGGCCATTAGTGGACCCACTGTGGTTCATCACCTTGCATTTCCCAAGCACGGGGGTGGGGGGTGGGGGAGATGTGATGTGAAAGCAGAACATTCAGCTACCACTTCAAAAACATTTCCTGTATTATATTGACATTTCTATAGAGCTTTTCATAAATGACATCTCTGAGGATTTTACAGATCCACAAGTTATCTGCCTTTAGTGGGTTTTGTGGGTCAATGTTTGCTCTCACAAGCACGCACAATGCGTACTGCATTTGTTGAAAGCCACCCAAGAAGAGGAGGGAAACTTGGCCCTCATTAAAGGAAAAATTAAACTAGCACAATGCAATTTTCTTCTAGATTCCTCACACTGGTGATCAAGTGTATCATTCACAACAAACACATTAGCTCTCCAAAAGGAAACATTTAACCACACTGCTAAAGATTAATAATTGCTCTCAATGTGGGGCTTTTCATTGCTGCTAACAAAATAACTAGGCAGGACATGCAGAGCAGACAGGTAGTTATTTGCTTCAAAACACAAATATTTTCTGCAACAAATACTAAAAATAAAAAATAAAACAGTGCATTTAACCATCATAAATGTTAGATGGAAGGTTGTTTCTGAGTTTTCTTTTTGGAATTTTTGTGGCATCCATTTCTGAGGACATAAAAAGTGATCCGGAGTGGTTTTATGCATATTTATTTTATTTATCTGTGTACCCACTTTTCAGAGCAAAAAGCCTTCAGAAAGCAATTTAAAAGAATAAATTGGAATAAATACAAGTTAAAATCAATTAAATATAGCAAACAATACAAAAAAAAACAAAACCTAAACAGCTATATAAAACAGGAGTCCAATAAGACAGTTAAAAGGCCTTCAGACTCAGGCTGGTCTTTAGCACACACCTAAAGTCTGTGAGTGAAGGGGCTGGCAAATCTCACTAGGTAGTGAGATACACAGTCAGGGAGCCCCCCCTGAGAGGACATTGTTTCTAGTATTTCTGATAATGGCAGGGCCAAGGCAAGACTTTAGATACTACATAATCTCAAGGGTCAGATAGATTCACATGAATGGGATGTTCCATATTAAGTCTGAACAAAATTACAACTACTTTACCATTGTTACATGTGGTGGTATTATTTATATATATGGTACATCTGCTGGTGTACCAACTGCAGCCTTCTCTGGAAAGTTCAGACAGTAACCCATGCCCTTCTCATGGGCAAGCTAGGCTTAACTATTGAAATGTGGGGTTTTTTGGGGGGCTGCCTTTAACATGACTCAGAAACTTTTAACTGGTTCAGAATGTAGCCACATGAATCCTGATGGGTGCTAGTATTTGCATCATAGGACACCATTATTGTGCCACTTGCACTGGTTGCTGGTATGCTTTCCAAGCCCAATCTGCCAATTTTAACTTGTAAAACCTTAGAGGATTACTTGGATCCAAGTAATTTGAAGGACCATGTTCACTAATACCTATCTTTTCACATGTTATGGCCAACAACTGAGGCCATTCTCACTTGCATGCCACCAAGATGGTGGGCACAATGTGGAGGGCTTTCTCCGTGATAGCCCATGACTCCAGAATTCACTGCTAGCTGGCTGCTATACAGTTAGTACTGTTTATAAATAAAATTATTATTATTATTAGGTCTTCAGAAAGGCCTTGACAACCTGCTTAGTCTCAGTGGCTTATTTATGAGTGATACCTTATGCTGCCATTGCACTTCTGCAAATTATGTTTTATTCCTGGGATGCATGTGTATTTATTATTATGGCTTTTATTAATGTTGTGAGCTTTATTGGAAGTTTTAGTATTGTATTCTGTTTTAATATTTTCAGGAAATGTTTTTATGTGTTATTGTGTAAGCCACTTGGAGAGGATTTTAGTCATAAAGGCAGCCTATAAATATTTTTAAATAAGTTGTAGAAGGCTGATTAAAACTCCAACAAAAACTGTGCTACAGCATGGACAAATTCTGTAGCCTCTCCCCCTTTATTGCCAGCACAGGTAACAGCCACAAGTCTTCCCCCACCCCAGTGATACCCTGACCTTCATCTATGAAATATTGATCGGTGTATGACCAAGATGGAGATGAATCTTTAACCCCAACATTGAAAAATGTGCACCCATAATAGCCATGAGTCTTTCTGTATGTATGAAATGTGTGGATGTATGTAGATGAAACACATGCTAAGCCCATTATTCTGCTGTGAAGTAAATGTGCTCATTCTCCACATTCTCAATAGTCATAATGAAGGACTAATAAGCACCAAAAGAGGAAAAGCTGGTTGATGATACAAGGTATAACAAGAATGGGATGTTTATATTTAGTAAAATGAATCACAGTGCAATTCTAAGTACATTTACTCATAAGTAAATTATGCTGTGTTTAATTGTATTACTCCTAAGTAACTAGATAAGAGTCCCTTCTAAGCAAAATACATGGGATTGCACTACATAATATTAACTTATTTATGTACTGCTTTTCAGCCAGGATTGGCTCTCACAACAGGTTCCAGTTAAAACCCACATAAAGGTACAATATAATTAAGGATATATTTGGCATATGTCAGGAAGTCTCTTCTGGTTTTGGCAGCTGGTGATACAGTCCAGGCTCTTCCCTTTGAATCAAGAGGAACAGATCATAGAATCATAGAATCATAGAGTTGGAAGAGACCACAAGGGCCATCGAGTCCAACCCCCTGCCAAGCAGAAAACACCATCAGAGCACTCCTGACATATGGTCGTCAAGCCTCTGCTTAAAGACCTCCAAAGAAGGAGACTCCACCACACTCCTTGGCAGCAAATTCCACTGTCGAACAGCTCTTACTGTCAGGAAGTTCTTCCTAATGTTTAGGTGGAATCTTCTTTCTTGTAGTTTGGATCCATTGCTCCGTGTCCGCTTCTCTGGAGCAGCAGAAAACAACCTTTCTCCCTCCTGTATATGACATCCTTTTATATATTTGAACATGGCTATCATATCACCCCTTAACCTCCTCTTCTCCAGGCTAAACATGCCCAGCTCCCTTAGCCGTTCCTCATAAGGCATTGTTTCCAGGCCTTTGACCATTTTGGTTGCCCTCCTCTGGACACGTTCCAGTTTGTCAGTGTCCTTCTTGAACTGTGGTGCCCAGAACTGGACACAGTACTCCAGGTGAGGTCTGACCAGAGCAGAATACAATAACTATTATGTCAACGTGTGGAAGGCGCAGCATAATGCGGAAAGGAAAAGGGGGCTTATGGCTGGGAAATGGAATGGATCAGAAGGTGCTATATAGATAGACTAGCAGAGGGTAAATAGGCAGCTTCTGTAGCTTGATATTTCTGTGAATCCACTGTCTGGCCAGCATATTGCCAGTGGGACAAAAAGTTTCTCTTCTATCAGGATATGGTTTAAGCCACATTTAACCCCAATGAAATGTAATTTGGCATATGAGGTTTAACTTATTAAAAAGGAGCCAGAAGAGACATGCTTACACTATGCACTCACCAACAACTTAATACATAGGCAGGAGGGAAGAAATCTAGACGCCCAGGCAAATGACCCTCATGAGACCCCAACACACACACACTGCTTAGCCCGTGCGTGAGAAAGAGGGATTGGGGGAAAGCTGTGTGTGTCTGTGTAAGAGGGATCTCAGGCTTCACCGACCTCTGGCATGTATTTCTGGTCTACACCAACCGGCAAAATCTTTGCAGGGTTTCAGAAAGGAATATTTCCCAGCCTTACCTGGAGATGAAAGAGGCTGGACCCAGGACCTTCTGAATGTGTCCACCGGAGCAAGGCAAGGTGAATTATGCTGACTTGAGGGGACTTGGGTCCTAGAGAAATGTGGGTTGCGCGAAGCCTGAGGGGATTTCTAGCTCTCATCAGAGAAGTGAATTTGTGAGGCAATTTCCTCCTAAAATGATGGGGAGGAGTGGAGTGTCGTTAACTATTATGTCAACGTGTGGAAGGCACAGCATAATGCGGAAAGGAAAAGGGGGCTTATGGCTGGGAAATGGAATGGCCGGTGTGAGGTAAACGGACTGAGCGAAGGAGTGATTTGCTTGACAGGTGTTGCTGCCCTGCTTTTGCTCCCTCGGAAGAGGGCATAATAATAACACTGAGCTTCGATCGACTGGTAACGGCGGAGGAGAAAGGGTCAGTTTCTGTTGGGAGCGCACACACACACACCAGTCCTGCCTCAGTGTCCAATGAGTATGTGGAGGGGGGAGGGGTTGCAGGAAAGCAATGTAAGGAAGATACATATAGATGTGGAGCTGGTTCGCAGGCACAGCTGTCCCTAAGCCTGGCTGCCTTTTCCCTTTTCGACGGTTCAGCTCCCCAAGAACAGCGACCGCGCTGCCGCCTCTCCCTCAGAATCCAGCGCAACCCAACTATTTTTAAACTAGCCCCGCCTCCGCTGCCTCAGTCCCTGACTGTAACGCTCGCGCACCCTCCCCTAGGAGTGGGTGTGACTTTTCACTCGAGTTCCCTCCCACCTCCTCGTGGCGGTGCGTGGGGGGAGGAGGGAGAGAGGACGAGGGCGAGCAATGGGTTGGCGCAGTGCGCCTGCGCACGCGGCGCGAGAATCTACCCGGCAGGTTGCAGTTGGTGGTTCCGCCGTAAGAACCCGCCCGGGCGCTGCCGGCTGCCGTTGTTTCCAAGCTGAGGGGGGAAAGGGAAAGGCTTGACGGTTGCTCAGTGGGTGGGGCTGCTGGCGCCGCGAGCTGCCTTTCGGCTGTTGGTCGCGCGGCCGGACTGAGCGAGGGGGGTGGGGGTGGGAAGAGGAAGAGGAGGGACCCACGAAGCGGCCGGAGCCGAGTCGGCCTCCATGGAGCTTCCGCGGCTCCTGACTCCGCCGCAGTCGACCGCCTGGGGCTGGGGAGGGTCTGTGGAGGCTGCGCGCGAAACTGGGCTCCGCCTCGGGACCCGACAGCAAGCCTGAGGAGGGCCGAAGGCTCCGGGGCGGCCGAAGCAGCGGCGCCGAAGCGCTCTCCTTGCCGAGCCGCAGGCTGTCCTGGAAGCGGCGGCGGCGGCACCGCTCGCCTTCTCTGTCTCTCTCTGCCCCTCGGGTGGAGCGGCGACGCTGAGTGATTGCTTCCCCCCCCGAGACTGTCGGCCGCTCCTTCTCCGCGGCCGCCCCCGGAGATACGAAGCCCCGCCGGATCGAGCGACCGCCGCCACCTGCGCTTCTCTGCCTACCTTCATCCATCTCCTTGGCAGAAAGCGAAGCCCCAGGAGGCGAGCGGGCAGGCCCAGAGCTGCCCCTCTCTTCGGGAATCGAGTGACGGACTGCTCGGCCTCTGGAGCCCCATCCTCTGCTTTTAAAGCATTTGGATCCCAGTGCCCCCCCTTCCTCGTCTCCTTCGAATAAGCTGTTGTGTGTCGTCTTCCTTGCAGCTGCTGTAGAGCTTAGGTTATTATCCCGGCTTCTTCGTTCGGATTCGTTTCCACCTTTTAAAACCCGATAATATATTTTTTTTAATCTCCTTTCCCCCACCATCCATATCATTTTAAGCTTCCTCCAGTGGCTGAATGTATGGAAAGGACTAGGCACCCAGGGTGGCACTCTTGCTTCTTGTAGCGATTCTAATTCCTTTTTATTGTGATATGGAATAACATGCATTTATGCACACAATAATCTTTTGTTCAAGAGACGTTTTGAAGATAAAATTTACATTTTTTTAGGGCTGAAAATGTTCCTAAAGTGGGTTTTGCCTTATTGGAGCTATTTATCCTCTGTTCCCATTTTCGTCCTGTTTAATTGTTACACTCTTCCAGCTAGTGCAGATAATGCTAGTCAAGCATATTATACAGCCCTCATAAATGTGACTGTACTGAGTCCTGATCGTTCAACACCTACTTTGCTGATACTTGAGCGTGGGCGCTATGGACAAGATTCTCCCAAAGTAGCTGTCAGAGGCCAACTTTTGGCACCTCTGCCAATCAATGGAGGTAAGGATTTCCTTTGGTTCTTTCTCTTTAGTTTAAATGAGGCTTTGGTTTGTTAAGCTTTCCTTACAGTGCACATTAAAATTGTCACAAAAACTATCAAACCCTCTGCCTCCTCCCTTGCCCATTGGTTCTGGTTGGGTTTCAGTAATTCCTTATTTAAGCAATTGGTAACTGAAAGGCAGTTCGTGGACTGACCTGTGAAGTACATTTGGGTGAATGTAGTACAATTTTACACATTTTTTTAGGTGTACACCTAAAATACATCACACATGTTGAAAACACATGTATCATAGGCACTCCTTTTCAGCCTGCTGGGAGCTGCCTGTCAAGTTGCCCTTCTGAAGTAAATCTGAGTTTGCTGCTGTGTGATGTGTGAAATGGCTCTTTGTGAGTATTCAAGGGCATTGAACACAAGATTGATTCTATGCCTCCCACATAAGAATCTAGTATGGTATCACACTAGTTTCAGCCAACAGGCAAGAATGATGGTTTCTGCATCTGCTGCAAATTTCTACAGCCTTCCAGGTTTGAATGATAATAGTGGCAAGGTTCTTCCCTCTAAGGAGGTAAGCAACATATCAGGGAACTAATTGCAAGCAATCCAGTCAGTCTTAGCTTTAGTGTTTAACTTGCTTTAAAGTGAAGTTCCATCTAGAACAGGCAGTCCCGCCAATAGCAGCTCTCTATAAAAAGAATATTTTTCCTAGTCCTTTGAAAGTTAATCCATTAATTACTGTTACATTAATTTAGACACATGGGTAAGTCTTTTTTAAAAAATCTCAACCTGACAGTCTCTTGGGTACCTTTTTAGTTCTGAAAGACCTTGGAGCAATAAAGTTCTATTCTACCTAATATTATAAATTGATGCTTAAGATTTGTTTTAAGTTGTGTAAGAGTGCTTTGTAAATATTTAACAGATTCTTATACACAGTAGCTTGATTTTTTGTCACAGTTGAAAACTTGCTTAGAAAAAATGGTTGCTCTGGAATGTAAGCATAAGACATACATGAAGTATGCAGTGTTATAGCTATTGTAAAGTGGAAAGTGCTATGTAACTATTTTTTTTAATTGCAATTAGGACATACATGTAAGCGTTAAGTGGTGAATAGGTTCTAATTTAGTACTTCTATGCAGTTAATTGTCAGTACTCTGTCAGTTATGTGATCTTATGCATGTCTGCTCATAAGCAAGTCTCATTGTAGGACTTACTCCTAGGTTTATGTGTATAGTATTGCAGCCTTAGGCCTGTATCATTTTCTACTTCCTATTTTTTCTTCATACCTCAACTTCTGTTTAATTTTCTTCTTCTTTTGTGCTCTTTGCATGTTAACAGTTTGCTTAAAACCTTGCGTAATTCATCTAAATACTGCAGGTTTTTCCTTTTTCGTCCTGTGAAACTAACATTACATGCATGCTGAGAATGACATGCCCTAAACATTTAAAAAGATTATTTGGAACAAATTTAATAGAAAACAATACATAGTTGTTTGAGGTTATAGATGTTCTTCGTTTTATGCTGTCTTGACTGTTAAGGACCTATTGATAGTACAATTTAGGTTCAGGTATATCTGAATGTCCAAGGAATAGACATGGGCACAAAGCATTTTCAGCCATAATTATTTATCTGGATTCAGCTTTAGTTAGCTTGTCTGCATCCAGTCTCCAACTCTAGCCAGACAGAGTGAACATTTGCAGGACAAGAACTGAGTGACATAAACATATTGATAACTCTAAAGTCTGTATAAATATACAGTAGTTCTCCTAACCGAAAGGTGGGGGACCATGGTGAATAGCATCTTGTACATGGACAGCAATTCAGAAATAATAAGAAGTAGGACACAGAGTGCTCCTGCATTGTACCATTTGGGAAGAGTGGGGTGTAAGTATGAGGTCCACAAATTAGTGACATTTCATACCTCTCATATGGACAGTTTGTGCCTCTGAAGGACAGTTTACGTCTCTGAAATTATCTATTTTGACTCTTCTTTCCATCACTCTTTCCATCACTTCCTCTTTCCATCACAGGAATAGGTTTCTCCTTATTTGGGGGAGGGGTGGAATAAAAAAGGCAGAACTTGAATAATTTTTAGGGGCACTTTTTTTACTGAACCCCTATTCCAGTTGGCTTAATTTTATTTAAAGAATTTTAAAACTGTTTTAAAACAATTCTTTCATCTGTTGTTTGTATGCTACTTTTCTGATACTGAATGGAAAATAATGTGGCTAAACAGCTTATAGACTGCTAGCAAAGTTGTTTTATTTTAAAATAGAAAACGACTACTTTCAGTTAGTCAGCATTATAGGTTATGAAATTTCACCCCTCCAAATTACTGCAGCCATTAACTACCACCTTTTTTTTCTTGTGTGTTGCTCTATTTAGGCTGTTCTATATCAGATGCATTGTCTTTAAGCAGTTAATATGAGAGTGAAATTGAAGTCACACATTTCAGAATAGGCATGTAAGCTGCTGTATGTAGCTTATTTTTAGTATTTTGAGTGTCAGTTAACCTGAATATGTCTGATCTCAATAGTTGTACCAGGTGACCCTTTTATATCATGCATTCACTGTTGTGAGTCAACTGTGAAAATGAATACACTCTTAACACACTGATTGGGTACTTCATAGCAAGATACATAGTAAGAGTAGGAAAGGCACTTGAAATTGTTTGCCGGTGTGTTGTGTACATCTGCTAAATGCAAGGTTCAACCTTCTACATCCACAGTAAATATTCAAGTGACATTTTTTGGTGGTAAAGCAAAAGTTGGGCCCTGGGCATAGGAGCAGATGCATAGCGCCAGGTGCAGATGGGCTGGCACTTGCACATTTCTTGATCTGTTACTATGCCTGTGTGAATAATCTCAGAGAAGAATGGATCTTTAGTATTTATTTATAGCATTTATATACCATGTTCTCCAAGTAGCTGAAGATGGTGTACATGCTTCTCTCCTTCCTTATTCATTCCAAACCATGTGAAGTTAGGTTGAGAGGTTGAGACTGGGCCACTTAGTTTAATGGCCGAGTGAAGTTTTGAACACTGGTCTCAGAGGTCCTAGTTTAACCATGATGCCACATTCATTGTGATTAAGGATGGATACCATCTAGATCATTTTTATTTCCATAAGAAGTCCAAGTTCTTGAGGTAAATGACATTGTCATCAAATTTACTGTCCCTGAACTTTGGTGTAGGTAGTAAAGATTGTGGATATGTGTTGTAGTGCACTGAAATTATTGCACTTATTAAGTAAAGTGACTGAATTGAATTTCATGAATAAACTCTAGTTGTGAAGGCATTTGCAATTTGTCAGAGTATTAAGATTATTTGCATGTTTCCATTTCCAGGTAAACTCCTAAATCTTTTTACTGCTGTTTTATTATAATAATGTTATATAGTGTTCTTGTTTGTATTTCCCATTCTACCTGGAGTGTACCAAGTTGGGAAAGGCTGTTAAGTGTGATGCAGATCTCTACTTCTTGTTCTTTGAAATACTGTAGAGGGGTTTTTTGTGAAAACATTAGATATTCCCTGACATAGTTTTCCTTTGGAAAAGTATTTCAGACAATATCTAATGTTTGCTCTGGAAAAAATAATTTGAATAATATGTGATGTGATGAATCCTAATCCATAAATGGTTATGTATCAGGAAAATCTTTAAAATGTTGTCAGATAGTTTTTGTTTAATAATTTAAATTTAAGGAAAACTTTATTCAAATTGAAGGAAATCATTATCTTCAAGATTAGATAACAGAGATACTCTAATTTTAAGCAAAAGAAAATTATAAAGGCCCCAAACATACTGGTATTTGTGAAGATTTTTTTCTGGAATAGAACAGGAGTGGGTTATCTGGCAAAAATTACAGCTGAAGCTAGTTCTGGGTTGGCCTGGGTGTAACTGGTGTTTTTGTCAGAAGTAAGTAGTATTGTAGCAGAACAATCACAGTGAAGCTTTAGTTGTTTTTCGTGGATGTGTGGATTTTTAGAGAGCAGCTATTTGTGTAGACCAGTGTTTCCTCTCTGGGAGCCAGATGGCCCCCTGGGAGGCCCCAGGATATTCCAAGGAGGCTACAGGTGAAAATCACACAACTGGGGGCCACAGCACGAGGCTAGGGGGCTACAGAGGGAAGTGAGAAGTGAAGATAAAAGGAACATAAGAGATGACAGAACACAGCTGGTGAATATGTTATACTTCTTATGCGATGTCATGAATGGAGTAACTGGTTTGAGGGTGATATGAAGGTTGTTAAAATGTTGGTCATGTTGATCTGATCCCATATTTACATATAATATAGTTCAGAAGCAGAAATATTTGCACTCGCATGCACATGCTGGCAACAAAAAGCTATGCTAAAAGTATTTACCGGTATGTATCATAGATTTTAACTATGTTAAGTAAATTCTATTATCTTTTCTTGATCCTCTTCTTCCTCTTACTATTTATTGAATTTGTTAGTCACTTTATCTTGCCCAGGGCAACCCAGAGCGACTTAAAACCAGACAGACAGATAAAAAACCCACATAAGATACTTTAAAACTTAGAAGAAAAATAAAATACATCACAAATGTCATTTCTACTTTTGTTTTATTCCCAAAGTAGCCTGGGGTAAACTTCTGTCTGTGGGAAAAGGTGCCTGGGGAGACCTCTTAACTGCTTTCCCTTCCCCTCTGGTCATTTTGCTCACAACTGCCTTCCCTAAGCTGCTTTCCTTCCATAGGGGGAAAACATATGGGAATCCTACATCTTTTCTCTCACAACTTAAAAAAAGAGCTGAGCATGTATGATATTGAGCTAAAACAACTACTAAATGAGAAAGAGTTAAGCAGCTCCCCACCCCGCCACCTTGTCCCAGACTGCTTTGTGTTTAACCAGCACAAGGATGAAAGAATTCTAGAACTCCTCATAACAAGTACTTTGAGCCTCAGGTGACTAAATGTTCTGATATTGCCAATCCAAAGTAGCCTAATTTTAAACTGTTTCAATTTATAAATGTGTGTTCTAGTTCTAAGCTTTTTAGGACATATTTTCTCCACAGTGCTGTGAAAACTACCACATGTACTGTAGTCATATTGCTTGATACTTTGGGCAAGGTTTTTGATATTAGCAGGTGGATATTATAAGCATTTATTTAAGTTCAAGCACTTTGGAGAAGAAAAGAGTAAGATGTTGCACAATGCTAATTTGTCAACTATAACTGCTGAGCAGTCACTGCTGCTTCCTCTTTGAATTAAGCAAATTGTACTTCTGTATTCTTCAGTAAATTTCAGTTGTAGGCAGAACTTGGGTGACTGCTTAAACTGATAACTGAGGGGAAAGGCCATAATCTGTGTTGCATCTGTCGGAAGAATTTCAGTCAAGATGGAGAGTCTATTGGACTCCCAGCTCTTTTATTTCCTTTATTACCTGATGATTGGTCATACTGGCTAGTGCTGATGGGAGTCCAAGAACATCAGTAGAGGCACAGGTTCCCTATCCTTGGCTTAGAATCACAACAATCAATATTTTTGAGACATTCCTGTAAAATAGGAATGAGTTCTCAAAAACATTTTTTCCCAGAGAACACACATTCCGTTAAATGTCCCCAGTTTTGTGGTAAAACTGAGAATGAGAGGAAACAAAATATGTTCATCAGGGAATTAACCTGAATGTTTACATGAAATTGTTAATTTGATATTGTAATTGTGAGGGGAATGCAATGTATGCTGCTAGGTGTTAGTGCTGCTTCTGTCTTTTCTCTTTATACTGATACAACATTTTTGCAGCGCAAGTGGACCTGCAACAAAATATTACCTTTTAAATCCACTGTGATAGTGGGATGTTTGCACATTTATGGTCCGCCTGGTTTCTCTTTTTCGAAAGATAGTGAGTAAACTAATATTTCCATGCAATACAACCAACTCTGAAATAAGTTCCATTGCAACAGTTTTACAGTACTGTACTTCCAAATAAGCTTAAAATTGAACAACATTGCTGTGTTAAGGAAATGCCTACATTGAATCTATTATATCAGGAGTTTACTTCTTTTGGTGTACAGCATCTGTCTGTCTGAGGGGACAGTGGAGGAGTGTACTTTTGGGGGTGAAGTCAAATTGTTGAAGAGTTACAGCACCTGCTGTGGCTGTAGAGACACTGGTATGGATGAGATGTGTTTTGTTGCAGCTGAGGCATATGAAGGCACCCAGTTGTGCTGAGGCTGATGCCCCATGGCGTTTATTCTCTCTGTGCTCCTCTCAGCGGTCCTATTCCTCCTCTGGTCACTGCTGTGGATACACAACCTGACTGACTGTCTCCAGGCACTGCTGTCATATGCAAGGGATTCCCACACAGCAGGGTTGATGTTACCAGCCTTTATGTCACATTTCAATCATCTTTGTAATGCAGAGTTGGTTCTGTAAACAGGCCTGGTGCTTGAAGCCAGCTCACCATAGAGCACGTCCTTGGGATCCTGCCATCTTCCATTCTGTGGACATGACCAAACCAGTGTTTACTAGCTTGTTTATTTTTTAAAAATATCTGTACCAAACTTCAGTTATATCAACTCAGATTAGATGTTTATTTTATCTGTTTATTGCATTTATATCCCACCTTTCCTCCAAGAAGCTCATAGTGATGTATATGGTTCTTCCTCTCCCCTTTTTATCCTCACAACCCTGTGAGATAGGGTTGAGAAACAGTGACTGGTGCAAGGTCACCCAGTGAGCTCCATGGATGATTAGAACTCCAGAAGGAATCTGCTAGCAGAATGAGGAAGGGAGGCAATGGAGGGGGGCAATTCTCCTCCCTCTCATAGCTCTCTGCCCCCCCCCATCTGCTTCAGGGGATTAGGGATCCTCAAACAGATGATGGCATGGGACCTGTAGTGGGGAAGGGAATTGTCATCTTCCTTCATTTCACTGACAGATTCATTTCATTGGTGACCAACATTCTTTACCAACCCATTTGTGCAGTTTGGTAATATGTGAGCATTCACCATTTCATCCATCCATTTGTAATCTGAAGTGATACAGATTGTCACATGGGCTGGATGATTCTGTATTTAAGTAGTCAAGAAAAGGTGTTTCAGGGAAACTTGTTTACAGAAAAGTGCACCTGCAATTCAGTTAGAGGCATGTTTGATTCCCTCCACCCCTGAAATTTATATAATGTGTACATCTCAGGTGTGAATATTTCTAGAGCAGTAAAAGTCAAGAGAGCCATCTGTAACAAGAAGCATCTGATCAGCACTGTCTGCTAGCTGGTAACTACTGTGAGATTTAGATTCTCCTTTGGAGTGGATTATGCTCCAAAATTCTGTGGACTGAAATTACTCCCCCCCCCAAATAAATTGCAACTGTCTGAGCACAGTTTTGCTTCAGCTTACATGCTTTTCTGCCCAGTCTCTATTTCCTGTAGCTCAAAAGATGACACATGGGGATTTCTATTTTTCTCTAATTAGCACAACTATGCAAGTTTGCCAGGTGTAACCTCAGAAGTTTCTTACACATAACACATAGAAAATGCAGAAGATTTTGCTTTAGCAGGTACAATAGCTACCAGAAAATAAGCAGTTGCATACTTTATTGCAAGCTCTTGGAAGGACTAGGAAGGATACTTAATAGGATGGTGAAATCCCATTTTCTGCATGTTTTGTGGGACAGACCAGTTTCTCCAAATAATCCACTACTTGTTGAGTATTAGAGCATTACAGCAACTTGTTGAGTAGTTGAGTATTACAGCATCACCTGTGCTGTAGGCATTGAACACCACCACTGAATAAAAAAAGAATTAACCAACTTGAAAGACAAGACCTTAGATAGCAGTTTTGCATGCAATATTAGATCAGATACTAAATAATATTAAGTTTAAGTGGCTTAGCTCTAAATGTTCTGAGCCAGATGATCTTTGAATGTGGCAGCTTGAAAAACTGGAAAGCATAGCAAATTCACTGCACCCAAGAAGTTCAGAATTCATTGTGAGTGAGCTAAGGTAGAGGATGGTTGTCAGTACAGAGAAGGTACTTGAATTTGAAATAGACTAGGTTGATGGAATTTGGCACTTTATTGAAAAGAGAAAACATTTCATATAGTAACCTTTTGTACGATTGTGAAATGACATAAATGACTTCAGATCACATATTTTTAAATAAGTGATTTGTATAAGCTTGAAATTACTCTTAAATTGCTTTTCATTATGCCATGGAGACTTTCCAGCATATATATTCAGAGTCCTCAGCTTGAGAAAAATATACATTAGAAATGGATTCTAAATAACTGATCATAGATGACAGATGATAATGGACAACTATTGACAATTAAACTTGCTGACATGGTTGTCTGTGTCCTTTACAATGCTGATTGATGTGTCTGGCACTCAAGGTGTATGGTAGTATCCCTTAGTTCCAGTAAATATTGGAAGATTCTATGAGAAGCTATGAAGAGGACAGAGATTGCCAGCCTGTTTGCCTTTCTGATACATTTAGAGGCACAATTAGACATTGTACTGATTCAAAGCTACCATAAAGATTGACCATTACATCTTACTAAATTTGCCATATCAAGTTGTATACATTTTGGGGGGGGGGTCTTTCTCAGTTTTTTTAGTCATTGATATAGTTAATAAAATCATACCAAACTATAGCAAATAAAATCTTTTTTTGCTCTGTTCTCTATACTGCATATTCTTAGTTTATAAGATAAGTCCTTTTACAATAGGACTTTTACAAGACAGTCCTTTTACAATAGGACTGTCTCCCAAGTATCAAGCAATTGGTAAAAGGTAAAGGTAAAGGACCCCTGACAGTTAAATCCAGTCACAAACGACTCTGGGGTTGCAGCGCTCATCTCGCGTTACTGGCCAAGGGAGCTGACATCTGTCCACAGACAGTTTTTCCAGGTCATGTGGCCAGCATGACTAAGCCGCTTCTGGCAAAACCAGAGCAGCACACAGAAATGCCATTTACCTTCCCGCCGGAGCGGTACCTATTTATCTACTTGCACTTTGATGTGCTTTTGGCAGGAGCTGGGACCGAGCAACGGGAGCTCACCCTGTTGCGGGGATTCAAACTGCCGACCTGCCAATCGGCAAGCCCCAGGCTCAGTGGTTTAGACCACAGTGCCACCCGTGTCCCTATACCAAGCAATTGGAGTACCAAGCAATTAGAGATTTTTAAATAGAGGTTGGATGCCCATCTGTGATTCCGATATTCCAGGTAGGGGTTGGACAAGATGGCCTTTTGAGTCGCTTCCAAATCTGCATTCTAAATTCTAAATATATACATAAATTTTGGGCAACTTAAGATGACAGCGGTACATGAACAAATTTATCCTAACATTTTGCCATTCCTCTGACCAGGTATTGAAAATATTCACTAGCAAGTATTCTGGAACTGAAAAAAATCCTTAAGTGTAATGATCATAATGATCAAATATGGTTAACACTTACAGATTATTATTTAGCTGAAAAATTGCTTTGGGTTGTGCAAATTGTTCTGGTCTCAAAACTAGAGAATAATTTTAGCCAGTGATCTGCTTTTTTTATTATTTTTATCAACAAACTTTAACTGACATCTCTTTCCTTTTTTTAGTTTCAGATCGTTTAGGCTGTGATCCACGAACTCGGTTTCCAGTTCCTACAAACAAGCAGTGGGTTGCCCTACTGCAGCGAGGAAATTGCACCTTTAAACAAAAAATCCTGCGGGCAGCTTTACATAATGCTTCAGCTGTGGTAATTTACAATAATATGTCAAGTGAGGAGCCTGTCACCATGACTCATCCAGGTAAAAGCTAAGATACCAGATATTCCTTTCTCCTCATTTCTTTCTTATTTCCCTTATGTTGTAAGACTTTTTAAAGGTATTTGTGATTTGTTTTTAGACATGTTCAGATACATCATGGTGGATAGTTAACAGCATTTTGTCTTTTTTGTGATTATCAAGCATGGAAGTTGGTCATTCATTTGATTTATAAAAGTGCTGGATAAAGTGCTGAGACTGGCAGTCTCCACTAGCTGCATGACCATAGCATATTGCCATGTCTACTTTATTTGTGACAGAGAAGGAAATAATGTGCTTAGTTTAATGCCTGTAACAGAAACTAGATGGGAAGAAGGATAAGTATACAGAGTATGGTTTGTGCAACAATCCCTTCCAACGTATATTTGCATGATTGTATTAGCTGTGCTCAAACATTCTACAAAACATACATGATCTATAGAAACCCTTCATGACAGCTTTCCATTAGCATAGTATCTGAAAATACAAGATTTGGAGCCCATATTGCGCTGTTGAACTATGATAGAATACTATTTCTCTGACAAAGGGAAATCTTCAGTTGCATTCTTCCTAGACATAGGTTAATGCTGGAAATCTTGCTCAGCCAAGTATTAGTTGCATATACTTTTAATCTAATTTTTAGTTAGTCCTCTCCTGTTGTTCCCTGGGAGCTGACATTGAGGTAGCCATTGGATTTGCTGTAACCTTCAGCCCTGGCCTGCTTCTTTCTAAACCTGCTTGTTTGCCCCTCACTCGCTGATCTTAGCTGCCTTAATGTAATAGGGGTAGTCGAGTAGGCAATAAATGCTAGATGCTTTTCCACTGCAAAATGCAATAAAATATAGAATACTTGGCGTCCAGTAGTGGACAACATTCAAGTAGGCTATTTGCTTCTGGTGATATGTTTTTAGCTCTGGGCAAACCTTCAGATTCAGAGCCAGCATGTACCTGATCACCAATTGCTGGTGGTGTAATAATGGGAGAGGGCTGTTGTCTTTGTACTCTGTGGGCTTCTCAAAAAGCATGAATGCATAAAATAGACATTACTGGCTAGATGGACCTGTGACCAGATGCATTATATTCAAGTTCATAGTCTCTGAATGCTACATTAAAGCATCTACAGAAAGGTATCAAATACTTATTAGTTCCCATGGTTGCCTTCTAAATTATTGTTACCTGGACTTGTGTAAGGGAGAAAAATATAGTTGCTAGGTTATTTGTGGCAATTGTTAAAAAATTAAGATTAGAGTAGATAAGCAGCAAGAGAACTGTGACAGACCAATTGTTTGAGTACATCATTCTGTCTCCAGCATCAAAGAAAATGCTCCTATAGCTCACAATCGGGTGTGGCAGAGTTGTCCAGTGTTTTCACCCAGTATCTGTTAGGCAGAGATATGCTGTACACAGGAGATATATATACAACATTATTTTAAGTTTCCTTTCTCAATTTGCCCAATAAGCTCTACCATTAAAATTGCATTTTTTTATTGCTGCTGGATGGTTTCATTGAATTTTACTCTGGGACCGTCAGTTTTGTTTCTTGGATTGAGTGAAAACCAAAAACCATCACTAAATCTTTAGCTAGCTAGTGATTGTGTATTATATCCAATGTTGGTTATGTTTGGAGTTCATTCATTTATATCAGTGGAAAATTGTTGACCATTAATTTCATAAGATTAACTCTGAGTATGACTTAGTTGCTTAGTTGGATATTATCCTGTATACTTGGCCCAGTGGAGCATTCATTACTTTCTAGGTCACTCAAGAAGAAATATGATTATCTTTTCATTTACTCAAGGGTGAAGGTATAGCTTGGCCAATTCTTTTCAATGTTTTTGAGTTTCCTTTAGCCTCAGAACTAAACTGCTATATTTAGGAGGAATATAGGTGTTTTTTGTCTCACTGCTTTGTACTTGGTAGATATCAGTATGAATAGTTCATATTTGTGTTGTTTTGAAATTAAATCATTTTGAACAGATGTTGGTTAAGAGATGTGGATGTAAAAAAGTGCTTGTAAAATAATGTTGCTTTCCTAATTTTCTAAAATTTGAGGCTGCTAATCTCATACTGTTTTTCACAATTCGGGATCAGCTTTTTGATACCTAACAGTTTGTTTAAATGTATATATGTACAGCCAAATGATTTGCTTCTTAAGAAACATACATGTTATGTTAGATGTTGATTCATTGTTTTCTTCTGCTTATTCTTTTGATAGGAACTGGAGACATTGTCACTGTCATGATCACAGAATTGAAGGTTAAGGAGATTCTGAATTACTTGGAGAAAAATATGTCTGTCATTATTGCAATAGCAGTTGGAACCCGCTATCCAAACAAAAACTTTAGCCGTGGTTCTCTTGTCTTTGTATCAATATCGTTCATAGTTTTGATGATAATTTCTTCAGCATGGTTAATATTTTACTTCATCCAGAAGATCAGATATACAAGTGCACGTGATCGGAACCAGGTAACTATCTTTTGATTCTTCATATCAAATGTGTAGGGTTTTTCTGTTGTGTTGATAGATTTTTATTAAATGTTTTTGTAACTGCTTTTAACTACTATACACCATCCTGAGTGCTATGACTACAATGGAAGTTAGCCAAACTACAATGGAATACAATGGGATATTAATTTTCCCTTGTAATTAAATTGTAAAGTTAATACATGCAACATGTGAGCTGTTTTATACTGTGATAAAAATATATTTCGGTATTTTGCAGAAGGTCTTTATCATATGCAATTATACAGTATTAAAGGGAATATAAATGGGCCTGCACTAAATGTTGACCCATATATATTTTTAAGACAAAAGTAATACTTTCTGGAGTAGGGGAGAAAGGGGATATTTCCTGTAATACCCTTAAACTTAGGTGAATGTTCAACTTGTTTTGAACTAGTTTCCTGATCTGTTACTTTTTGCCTTCTTTTTTTTTAATGAAGTATTCTGGTGTTACCTAAAAAGAAGGTACCTACAAATAAAAACACAGATTCTTCTCACCAAAAGAAGACAAATACAGCGCTTGGAAAGAGTTCAGATTTATTGCATGCTGCAGTGTGAATAAAGAGACCCAGTTGGATAACTGCCAAAAGAAACTGGGCCCTCAAACGAAGGGTTCACAGAGTTTTTATAGCGTTTTAGAAAAATATGCAAAAGCTTAAACTATCCTAACTGGCTATCTTTATGTGTGTTCAAAATATGATCTTATCTCCATATACGGTAGCTTGGCAACAAGTTGTGGTTGTGCCTGTGAGAACCTGTTTATGCGGACTCGGCACTTAGCAGGCTGTGGCCAGTTGTGTAAGCATAGTGACAGAGGATTTGAGCAAAAGTGCATGCTGTGCTGTGCTATGGTGTGCTGTGCTGACTTGAGGGTCTTGACATCTGCCTTAGGTCATGACATTCACCTGGGTCCCAAGTTATGACACACAGGTATCACTGGGAATGGTCATAAGTGTTATCCCAGGCAGGTGGGATTCAGTTAATGAGAATTATGTTACAGTGTTGGGGTTAGCCAAACTAAGTTGCTTGTTTCTAATATCATTGAGGGCAGCCTTCAAGAATTACTTTGCTCTCTCTGTTGGTGAACACAATCACTACCTCTAGTTTTAGTTTGTAAGCTAAGCTATTTAAGTTTCCTCTGGATTCCAGAAATCTCTTGAGCAGCATTCCTCTTCAACCAGGCCTTTGGCTTATCAATATTCTATAGCCTTTTAAATGTGTCTGTGGAAAGGGGTGTGTTCTTGTTTTGCTGGGTTTTTAAAATAATTAGTAGTTACTTGTTTTTCTACTGTGTTTTATTTTGTGAACTGCCCTGAGATCTATTGAGGGTGGTATACAAATCAAATCAAATAAATAAACATGGCATAACTAAACTGCTGCTGTTTGTAACCTTCATTTTCATTCATTTTATTTGTATGCCACTTTCCACAAAAAAGCATGCTCAAAGCAGCTTACAAAATAATACCAGGAGTACATTTCAAACAAGTACTGCAAAAATAATTTCATAATAACATGAGAATCCAATAGCAAATATAGTAACATACAAAAAACCACTTTTCAAAAATATAACAAGATTACTTAAACAACATGAATCATCCAGCAGCAAAAATAATAAGGGAGCTTCACTGTTTCACCTTAGTCCTAGAAACACTATTGCCAAATATTATTAACAAGATTCTGTTCTAATATAAATTGTTGAGTGACTGCTTGTTTATGGTGTGTGTGTGTGTAGCTATCCAGTGTTTCTCATTCATTGTAGGTAAACTGCATTGGGGGGAATATAGGTGTGCCTTTATTTGGGGGTTCTGAAAACAAGGTCTACAGAGCTATGGAAAAGAAAAAAAATTTTTGATTAAACGGTAGCTCACTGTTTCCTATTGCAAGGCAGGGCAAAGATTTTTCTCAGCCTGGATTTTGAAATGAGGCCTTCATTTTAACGTCTCATTTGCCCCAGTGGAACAAAAGGGTAGTGCCCAAACAGGACCTGAGAAGCTAGACATTGTTTCAAAATATTGGTTTTAAATACATCAGCAGAAGGCCAGTGAATACATTTCAGCTTATGAAAGTTACAATCTTAATAATATCCAGAAGAAATTAACAGCACATTATACATATTGGGGAAATAAGGAACAGTATGTGAAAATAATAATTTCATGGGAAAACAAAATGAATATGAATATGCAATTTTACAGTCGTGACCCACAAGACGAATGCCTTGCAAGACAAAAAACCCGCTAGACGAAAGGGTTTTCCGTTTTTGAGTTGCTTCGCAAGACGATTTTCCCTATGGGCTTGCTTCGCAAGACGAAAACGTCTTGCGAGTCTTGCGATTTTTCCCCCGCTCCCCCCCCCTTTTCTAAGCCGCTAATAGCCTTTTAGCTGCTAAGCCGCTAAGCCTTTAATAGCCGCTAAACCGCTAATAGCGCTAATCCGCTAATCCGCTAATAGGGTTGCATCGCAAGACGAAAAAACTTGTGGAACGGATTATTTTCGTCTTGCGAGGCACCACTGTAGTTTAATATTTAACTTTAGTCAGAGGAACAAAATTCAAATTAACTTTACAAAGAATCATGATGGCATGCAAAACGAATAATTTTTAATTGTTATGCAACTTTATTGTTTGTTCCTCTAAAACATTCACTAGTCCAAATGACCTAAAAGCTGTGCTATGTTTTAGCCATATAGACACTAGTTCTAAATACTAAGAAAAGAGAAGATATAGCAAATAGCTACCAATCCAAACAGGGTAGTAGTCAACTAAGTTTTACCCAGAGTAGAACTGTTGAAATTAATGAACATGACTAAGCCAGGTACATTTCAGTATGTCTGCTCTGGGTAAAATTTCACTGAATACAACCCAGCAGTTTCTGTGGGTTCAGGGAAGAACAGAGAGATGACTGCAGGGTCCTGTTGGCAGGATCCACATGATGGAGAGAAGCTTGGGGGGGGGAGGTGAAGTATATCTCAGCTTTCAACAAACAAAAAATATATATATTCAAAGATGTCCAAATGCTGGAGCTCAGGAAAAACCCAGTTCTGTGTAGTAATTACAAGGAACAATTCTAGTAAGGGAGAAGTAAAAGCTTCCCCAAACAAGTAATTAAGATTAATTGGAGCTGTACAAAAAGTATTTGGAAAGCTGGTATGAATAAAGAAAAAAGTCCCAGTGTAAAATTAACATAAACTGTAAGAATGGAATCAAAAAGCAAAATTCTCTTCTGCATTCTAGAGAAATGTTAAAGGAGAGAAAGAAAAACTGCTTTTGTGAAATAGAGATGAAGCTAAGATGGGATTCAGAGAAGAATCTGTCATTTCTCTGTTTCCCAACATCCCCAATTTTTTTCCTGCTCACTGGTTTATTTATTTATTTTCTTTCCTCACAACTTTAATTTGTTTTGTATTGGTAAATGACAGGTCATGGGGCAAACACTTGCAGAAACAGAAAATCTGCTCCAGCAAGTCCCCCAACTCTCCAGGGAGTTGTAGGGAGAGGAAAGGAAGGGGAAGTCCCACTGTGCAAGTGGAATGGTTCTCCATTCAGTTTGAATTCCATCCTCTATACCAGGGGTCAGCAAACCCCTGCAGGGGGTTTCTGTAGGGCGCCGATCCACTGTCCTTCAGACCTTGTGGGGAGCCAGACTATATTTTGGGGGGAAAGCCCCCCGCAACTCTTCCCTCTCTTCTCCACAGCTCTGAACGAGCCCTGGTGGCTGCTTACCTGAGCCTTGTGAGTGGCAGGGGCTGGCGGCAGCAGTGGAGGGACCATGAGCGGCATGATATGGCTGGTTCCTGAGAGGGGCTGCTAAAATGGTGCTCGTGGCTCAACGAAGCCCAGCCCCCTTCCTCCTCTAGGCAGGGCGGGGAGAAGCCAGGAGGAGGGAGGGAGGAGGCGCCGCTGCGGTGTGTGTGTGTATGGGGAATGGCTCAGCCCGAATGATCAGAATCCCCACGCCGATCCACACGGCGATTCCCAGACCGTCCGCGGGCTGGATCCAGAAGGCAATTGGGTCGGATCCAGCCCCCGGGCCTTAGTTTGCTGACCCATGCTCTGTACAGTCGTACCTCGGAAGTCGAACGGAATCCGTTCTGGAAGTCTGTTCAACTTCCAAAACGTTTGAAAACCAAGACATGGCTTCAGTCAGAAGCCGCATCAGATGTTCAGGTTCCAAAGAACATTTGCAAACCGGAACACTCACTTCTGGGTTTGCAGCGTTCGGGAGCCAAAACGTCCTTTTATCAGATAAGCATAGTCACTTTGCCCTGTTCTACTTGAAACACCCAGAAAAGAGGAGGTTGTGAGATACTTTCTGTTCTACTTCATAACCTGTGTTAAAAAGCATAACAGGTACGAAACTGATTGGACAAAGTAGCAATCCTATACATTAGCAATTTCTGGATTTCAAAAATCCACACCTGAACAGTTGCTCTTTAAGTAAAATTCTTTAGACCTTTTTCCTTCAGAATTTTACAAGGTCAGGAGAAACTTGATAAAACTTTTATGTGGTTTAAAAGGCTTGTCTTATTAAAATTTTATGAAGAGGTAGCAACAGCTAGAGCACAATTGGAAAAGCTTAGCTATTTTATATAGGGGGGGAACAGCTGCTAAGTGATAGGATAACTGTGCATTTTAAGTCTGTTGCTGACTTCACACAATAGTTTGGAAGTAAACTACTGCTTCTGAAAAAAGGTTAAATATCATGAAGCTTGCTTTGATATGCCAATAATGCATTTTACAACTCACATGTATTCTGGAATCAAAGAAAGCATTTAGCAATAGACTGGGCTTGGTCTGTACTGACAGCCAGTAGTTGGCAAAGTATATATTCTACATCGCTGCCTTGAGTGAGCAGAACTATTGAACTTTTTGGTCATTATTGAACCAAATATGTAGTTAAAACAGCCAGCTTTGAAATTTTACCGTGTCTTAGGTTAGGGAAAACGTAATGGAAATTAATAAGCAATACCCACTTCTCTTTGCCATTTTGGGATGACCATTACCCCATTATGAGACTGACTGAAATATTTAAAACCTTTTCAAATGATACCTGTGATGTTTACTACTGGGGCAGGTTCTGCTGCTGTTGATCTTTTGGTTTTACTATTTTAAATTGGGCTTTCAGCTGTTCTGTTTTTTAGTGTACTTCTAATTTTGTAAGCAGCTTTGCATTAAAATGAGTTGGAGTGTAAATGGTTCTCTCCACAGTACCATCCATATAATATTGGATTAGTAAGAGACTGTTTGGCTTGTTTGCTGTATTGATTGAAGCATACAAAGGGCAGTCTTACTTAGCTTTTTGTTGCAGGAGACCTGCAATTGGCTTATGGAAGGGCTGGCTGGATTTTAATGTGTTGAAATTATATGGCAATGTTTAGGAGTGGAAGTATGTTGAAAACACTTGATTTTGGGACCTTTTTGCTTTTCTCTTTATAGCCTATGTGACTTTATAGGGCTGATGAGCTTCCTATTTTTCTCATATTTGATGGACAATGAGAAAAATAAATGATACATACTTGAATAATGTAGGAGACATCCAGAGGCACAAACAAGCAGAAGCAGGCCAAAGTATTTAGCACAATGGATTCATATGTTCTCCATTTCATCATCCTAAGCGTCCAGTTGAATGTAAACATTGGAATGGCCTCTGATTTGGCCCTTTCCATATGTTACTTTGAAATAAGATGCTTTTGATTGCTGATTCCTCCTTCCATTGTGCCCCCTGAAAGGCTGATCTGGAGGGTCTGAGCACCCTTTGGAACAGAATGGGAGATGCTGCAAAGGGCTAAAGGGGAAATTGGTGCAAGGCCCCCCTCCCCATTCTAATAGGTAGCTTTATCGTATCTGGAGCCTTTCCATAGATGGAAGGTGCCTTTTTGTTTGCTGAAAGGGCACTCAGGATCTAGCCCCCTATAAAGCAAAGAAATACATCTAGCAAAGATTAACACAAAATTGAATCTCTCTTTACATATTATTGACAAACTTGAGAAATTAAAAAAAACGGAGATTTCTGGTTTCAGATGTTTCTAGAATAGCTACAAGATGATATCAGGAAACATCTCTGTAACAGCATACTCTTCTAAATAACAACATAATTACAGTAGCTTAAGGAGCAAAAACGCTAACACATTGCTTGATCCTCACTGTATAAACCTAATCCTCCTCCTGTTGGGAGTCCTGGTTACTGAAGCAAGGAAATGTGAGCTTGTTCTATTCAAAGTGACCTGTCTCAGAAATCTATTGACTCACTTGGCAGCTGGCCATTCTCAATTGCCTTGGATAATATTGTTGAAGGTGAATCTGCACTTTAAGCGTAGACGTTCTTCTTGCTTGCAACTAAAAGGGATTCCCATAAAATATGAGCTTGATGTTTATGGCCCAAAGAGACTTTAGTTTTGAAAGTGCCATGTACTGTGCACCTGGTACTCTTCAGAGTATAGTGAACAAGCTGTAATCACCATTTTAGTATATAACCAAAGGAGATTTAAGAGGAAGAAGCACAGTTTTTCCAACACCTAATAACTCTCTCTGTGTTTTATTCAGCGTCGACTTGGAGATGCAGCAAAAAAAGCTGTTGGTAAATTGACAACAAGAACAGTGAAGAAAGGGGATAAGGTATAGTCACACAAATGAAATGTTAGTCACATTTTTTCTGGAGAAAAGTATTAACGCTTATCTGTGCAAGTCTGTTTCCCCCCTCGATTTATCCCAATCCTTTTGGTTTGTGGAGTCCTCCTCTTTTTTTGGGGGGGGGAGGCCAAAGTTGTTGAGGGGGCAGAGAGTTCTTTCCCTGCCAACGATAGGGATCCAGCGATCAACTGCGAACATCCGGGGATTTACCTGTTGATTGTGGTCAACCGGTTGGACATCCCTGATGTAGATAATGTTTTTTTGTTTGTACCCGGCCCATCTGACTGGGTTGCCCCAGCCACTCTGGGCGGCTTCCAGCATATATAAAAACATAGTAAAACATTAAACCCTATACAGGTAAAAGTGTTGACGCTTAGGGAGCTGAATGCCAACACCTTACCCATATGGCAGTTTTTTGTTTTCATTGGTATATATGTAGAAAAGGGAAGAGTATAATACCATGAGGAAAAATGAGAAAGGGTGGGCGGGTCCCCTCTAGTCTTCTAGAATAGTGGTTCCCAATTAGCTAAGTACTGCAGAACCCCTGTTTCTCAAACCCCAAACCATGGACCCCTGACTTTTGAAAATGTTGATATCTCTGTTTTAGTTTTTGTTATGTGAATGGTACCAGAATACCTCCAACATGTCCCAGCACAAAACCAGGTCATGTGTCTTACTACAGGATTTCTGTGACTGTCTGCTCTAGAGATTGGTTGAATAGCCACTTTGTTCATTTTAGGAAACGGATCCAGACTTCGATCATTGTGCTGTTTGCATTGAAAGTTACAAGCAGAATGATGTTGTCCGCATTCTTCCATGCAAGTAAGCCAGTAATTCCTCTTTCCCTTTTGAGAGTGCTTTACCCTTGAAAATATATGTCTTAGCTTCATTATCCTTTTTGTCACTCTTGGGTTCACTCAACACATTAGAACTTGTGTATTAATTTTATGCACTTTTGTGTGCACACAATTTCCTAGAGTAGTGTGGGAGAACTATGCAAAAAGGCCTGGGTGGTGAAAGATACTTAGTATAGTCTGAAAAGAAAGTGGTTTGTGAATTAGGAGAATAGATGTGGTGGTGGTAGTCAAATAAGACAATCATGGTACCCATGAAGAATTTTCTTGGTGACTCCCAAGGCGCTCAAACTGATCTCTGAATGAAGATGGCACCTGTGTGTGGCCTTCATATTGCAGAGTACTTCCTGTAGCTGGAAAGGCCCACCCCCTTTTACTCTAACTGGTTGTGAAGGCAACCCCTCCTCTTTGAAGGAAATCTTGAAAGTGCCACGGAGGATGTTTGAACTAGTTTGTGCAGTGGCCTGGAAAGGGGGAGGTAGGGTGGTGACCACCACTTCTTTTATTGCCCAGAAAGGCATTTTATTTTGGGAGGCAGGAGACAGAAGCAATGGGGATGTATGTGGTATCTACGTGAGAAGAAAAAGGGCTTTCTTTTTCACTACAGAGCACATAAGAAATGCTGGAATCTGTAAAGACTTAGACTAAAATGTATTTAGTGTATTTAAATATTAATACATGATGAAATTAACAGTGACAAGACATGTTACATAATTACAATGAGCTTGGATCTCAAATTATTACAAATCTGACATCCGTTCACTTCCCTTATTAAGTCCATTTGGTATTACTGTATTTAGTTTATAAAACTACCTGACTTCTTCCCTTCATAATTATTTAAGTATTATTTTTCTCATCCATATACTTTCTCAGTATACCAAAACTTACAAGGATTTTACACCATGCTGTTCTATAAAATTTTTTAACAAATGCACCTGAAGTTTTTTATTCTTCCTTCTCCCCTATGTCCTCCTGTCTTTATCTGCATCTTTTGAGTGGTCATCTTAATATATAGCAAAGGACACAGGCATTGAACTGCATAAATAACCCAGTTCAGTTCCCATGTTCCTTGTTATATGCACACACACTAAAATGGAAGAAGAACTAAATAACGTTTTGGTATGTGTGTGGCTGTTACTTAAAACCCCTGAAATTGGTATGTTCTGTACAAAAATGTAACACAAGCAGAAGTTATAAGTGAAATATGCAATCCATACATTCTCAGAAGATCTAAATGTAGCTTTCCTATTAAGGAGTTAGTTGTACATTAAACCCAACTCAAGGATGATTGCCATTTTATTCGAATTCCCAAAATAAATTGTTCAAAATTCCTAATATTTTTTCTTATTATGACCTCTCCAGTATGTCTGGTGTTATTAATAGTTTTGCAACTAGCATTTGTTGTGCTGCTCTGTTTTCAGACATGTTTTCCACAAAACCTGTGTGGATCCATGGCTCAGTGAACACTGCACTTGTCCTATGTGTAAACTGAACATTTTGAAGGCTCTGGGAATTGTGGTGAGTCAAGTCTTATTTAAACAGTAAGGAATGTAGAGCTTTCCTTTCCAAAATGATCATAAATCAGTAAAGTCAGGTACGAGAGGACCAGAATTCCAGGGTGTTAGCCATTCTTCCTTTCTTGCATGAAATTGCAGTGTTCCAATTCTAAATATTGGAAGCATCCTTGGTAGTGGGTGTAAAAGGACTGTGGCAGAGGCACAGAATGATTGGTGTCAGCATTGTGCAAGCCCTGGGTGTCTGCCTTCCCATTAGTATATTGCGTTTGGACCTACCTACTATCCCCTCTCAAGTATATTTGCCTCTCACTATTACTTTTGGAATTGGCTCTTTGTACAATTTATCCTCTGGACACTATCAGAACATCTTATGATGGGATTACTGAATCCTTTGATTTGGATGTGTGGCTGACTGCTTGACAGTCACTGCTCCAACTGGTTGCTGCTCAGCAGTAACTGCTTCTTCCTGTGAATCACATTTCATCATTGGTCACTATTGGATGCTTGTGCATCCCTCAGATAGCCTTTTGCAGACATTTTACAATATCTCTTAAGATTTTGCCAGAAGCTTACAAAAAGGAAATATATTAACTTGCCAACACTGTGTTTTCAGACAAATGTGCCATGTGCTGACAATATGGCCTTTGACATGGAAAGGCTCACCAGAGGCCAACTAGGCAACAGGAGATCAGTTCTTGGTGACCTTACCAGTGACACCTCACTCACTCTTGAGCCCCTGCGTACTTCTGGAATATCACAGTTTCCACAGGATGGGGAGCTGACTCCAAGAACAGGAGAGATCAATATTGCTGTAACTAGTAAGTGAAGTTTGGTTTTAATTTGAGCATTGTAGGTTTCATGTTGCTTTCAGATTTATGCTCTATTACTATAACTTGCATGGAAGTTTTCTATTAGTTTTAAGTGACAGTGAAAAAGACTCATATTGAACATCAATACAATGAACTTGGAAATAGCTTTGGCAAAATCTTTTTCAAAATTAATTACCAAGTAAGAAAATAGATTATAAAAGTCAATTATTTAAATGGCTAACGGTTAAGATGGTTAAGTATTTTAACAATTTTCCCCGTCAGTGAATTATGTTTGCAAATCATAATGGCTGGATCTAGAAATTCAGTAGATTGCTCCAATTATATTTGCCATCTTTTTAGAATTATTTTTGGGCTTGATGCAGTCTTCAAACAGTTTATAGTTTGAGTGCCATCAGAAAATCACATATGCCAATTGTTTATGAAAATCACATATGCCAATTCAACAATCTACCCGTGAACACAACTTTGCATTAAATGAGCTCTGGAACAGTGATCTGTGTTGAGCTAACTGTTTGGGGTATGATTTAGGCAAAAAAGAAGACATAGTACCAGGTCCTAAAAGCTAAAGAACCCTTACTGGATATAAAAATAAGAATTTTGCTTCTGATTCTGTTGCACAGTCTAAGCCACAGACAAGCGGTGTAGTCCTTATTTTGTTCAATTCAGCTGCAACTCATCAAGGGTAGAACTTTCATATTTCCTGGTGCTAAGCATTGTTTGGTCTGCCTCATGATCAGTAGCAACACATGGCTTTTCTTTCTTTCTGCCTAGCAGGCCTGTGCAGAGCTTGTCTGAGGCCTGGGGTGGAAGTCTTGTTAGAATAAACTCAAATAAAAAAGCAGTCGGTCCCTGGCTGGGGCCCCTGGCCAGCTTAGTCCTCTGAGGCCTAGGGCAAGTGCATCTGGATGCCCCCCCCCGCCCCGCCCTGCATGGGTCTGCTGCCTAACAGACCAGGTAAAACTATTTTATGGGGGAAATGCAGTATGCACTCCGACAAGGATGAAAGTTTCTTTTAGTCTTCTATTTGCAAACTTGATTGTTATGTGAAGTTATGCTAACTAAATGTCTTTCATACACTATAAATGAATTGGTGGAACCTGGAGATATGTGGGAACACCTGAGCAGAAGCACTTGCATATTATTTGACCAGTAACTAAGAGAAATGTTTGGGCCAATGTGACATATACTACCACTCTGTAGTTTGGGAGAGTGCCAATTTTGACAAAAGAGCTGGGTTTTCCCCTAACGTTCCCCATACGTCCCACACATTTATTTAAAAACTTCAGGCATGGAATTAGTGCTGGCAGGTTTTGCTTTGTTATATTCCCTCAGAAGTTGGGTTTGCAGTGTTATCATATTGCTATGTGTGAAGAATTTCATTTGTCAGTAAAATATCCTCATGAAAATTGAGACTTACCATTGAATACTTTCTACAGTCCTGGTTCTATAATCTTCAAGTGGGATATATATCTTATAGTGACTTTGACCATCTTGAGAATGAGCAGTGGTAATGCACCCACCCTGTTGTTGTTGGTTTTGATTATTGCTTGCAGGCCCAGAACATGTCTAAGAATGGATTGACAACTCTTTTTCATTGAGCGGAAAGACTTATTTAATATTCATAACCACATAACTGTGCATTTAACATAGGTTAAATCTCAGGGTACAAATACTGCTGGTTGCAAGAAATACACATGTACAGCTATACATACATCTTCAAAAACAAGCATATTAATTTGGCTTGAGTCCTGTTGCTTTTCCAGTCATTTAAAATGGAGATCATGATAAAAGAGAAGAAATTGATGCAACATTTCAAGCACTGTCATCTGAAAACTTTTCTGATTTATTTTAGTTTGTGTACATTGCACATATTCCTATGCCACAAAAAGATAAAATCAAAGAATGCACCTAGTTAGAAATGATGTCCAAAACAATCACATTCCTTTAAAAAAAATTAAGATGTACTTTTGTGTGATAATTTTAGACTAAAATTATATTTCATTTTTTATTATTGATGACTCCCTGCTGAATTCTACCTTTTAAAAGTGCTAGAGCACTTTATTTGCAGATAAAGGAGTGGAAGAGATGATACAGGGTCTGTGTGTGTGCTGTCATATTTCTTTTAATACAGGTCTCATTTGGAGATAGTCTTATTCCTTAACTGCAGGTAAAAAGTTTGCTTATGCTTTCCTTATTTTGCATTTTACTTTGATCAGTCATTTATCATTAATGTCTGCACTCTGTGATCAATATTATTGTATCATTCCTCTTTTTCTCACTTCTCCCCATAACCTTGTTTGCTGGCCTTCTCCATTTAGTACCTTCTTTGCCTTCTGCTTTCCTCTGGAGCTTCTACTTCCTGAGTAGAATTATTGTCTTCTGCTTCTGATCTTTGAGGGCAGTTGCCATCGATTTGACATAAGCCTTCTTCCACGAGTGATTTCCTCCCTTTCCTTTGTCAACAGAAGAATGGTTTATTATTGCCAGCTTTGGCCTCCTGAGTGCCCTTACACTTTGCTACATGATCATCAAAGCCACAGCTAGCTTAAATGCTAATGAGTAAGTAAATGTTCAGATTGTGAGTGTGCCTACACATACGGCAGCATTGTAAAGAAATGATGAGTTGAAGAATTAGAAGGAAGGAGATTGGGAAACATCCAGAATACAGCATTCTTTTACTAAGTTGCAATATCAGATTGTTAGAACATCTGAGGATAGGTTTTCCAAAGGGAGGGTACATTTTTTTATTTTTTAAGGGGAAGATGCATTATCGTTCAATTTTAGTTTGTATTCTGGCACTCCTGCTTTTTATTCATTTTGTGTGTGGATATGCGTGCATGCACTCCTTGTTTGGTTAAGTTTATATTAGCAAGCCTACCATTAAGGGAGAATTGTAAACATCATTGCCTATATGGACTTGAGTGAACAAGCCTAGATAGTGCCTGTTCAGATTTAGATAACTGAATGTTATTTATTTGTCTAGGAATTATATTCAGGAAGTATATTCCAATAGGGAAGCTTAAGGGAAGTGCCTTAGAGAGTAGTAAGGATGCTATTTTTTATTTAATATTTTTCTTCTGCTCCCAGAGAACCAAGAGCAGCTTACAATGAAAAATACAATAAAACAAATAATTTTTATCACTAAAACACTAATTTAAAAACAATTCCTGATAACAATTTAAAAGCAGCAATCAATGAAGAATCAAGTTAAGGCTTAGTGCTGTATGTTTTTAAATAGTTGTTGAAAGGAAAACTTTTTTTAGCTTATGTTTAGAGGAGAGTCTCTTGAATTCCTGATTCCAGCGCAGTGTTATCACCAAGCAAGTGCTAGCTTGTGTAGTATGATGTGCACGAGTTTCCTGCATTTGTGCACAGCCTCTTTGCTCCTGCTTCATTTATTTCTTTGTGCAAGCTGGGAAACAAATCAGGAAACCAGAGTTAGCCATAGTTTCCTGTTACCTGCAAACTGGAGAAGTTATGGTTAACTCTAGATTCTTTGTTTCCTTACTCACATGAAGAGACAAGTGACCTGAAGCAAAGGGGCTGTGTATAAGTGCATGAAACAGATTAAGCCTGAATTTGTGCAAACACAGCCACTGAATCTTGTGTCCGCCGACCTAATGGCCTGAGGTAATGGCACAGAGAGCAGGGCTTCCAAGGCACATCTCAAAGGTTTATATGGAAACTATCCTTGAGATAGCCTGGTCTAAGATTGTTTAGGGCGAGAAAGATCCAACAATGATGTACATCCTACAAGAAGTGCAGTATAGGAGAGAGCTTACGGACGAGAATTTAGAGTGAACTAGGGGTGCACCAACGTATGTGTACTTAGTAACTCCTGGTCCTGTGATCAGTCTGCTGCAAGTAAGGAGGACAAATTATGCAGCAAACATATATTTCCAAGCAAATGTACATTAATAAATTATGGTTCTTGCTACATGTGGTGAGCAGCATGAACACAGAGCTTGCTCTCGCACACTGCCCCATGAAGGAGGTATATAGGCTACATATTTTACAGTAATTGACTAGTTCACCAGCACCCTGGTGTGGAATAATCTTACAACTTACTCATGTAGCATTTTGGCTGGCTACTTTCATATTTCCAAAAAGAGACTGGAATATTTTTTAGGGATTTCACACAATATTTCCTACTGGTGATAGCTGCATTAAACTAGAAGGTTCCTCCTAGATTTTTGTATCTAAAAGTAAAAATGATGCTTGCATAAATGGATACTACAGATATCCAAAACCACTTTCAGTCATTACTTTGCCATGCTGGAACAAGATGTGCAAGTTTCCCACATAGCGCCCCATCTCTGATCTTTTGGGTGGAGGAGATGCAGAGATTGTATTTTGGACATGACACAGTATAATAGGAAGCCGGGAGAATTTGTATATTGTGTTCACGTACAGTATTTTTCTTTATTTCACACCCCCCCCAAAAGGTGTAGTAAATAAATTAAACCTAGTGTGGAGGTCAAGGTGGTAGCTAGAATTCATAATTTATTTCCCATTTTTATGAACCATCTATTTTAACTGTAATATCTACGGATTTGCCACTTGTGAAAAAGGAATAGCTGTATGCCTTCCTTCCCATTGACTGAAAGCACTAGCAAGTTGTTTTTATTCTGCTCATAATTTATTTTGAACATTTGTGCATTAAACAACAACAATAAAATATTACTGATAATCTCTTTTACTTTCCCACAGAACTGAATGGTATTGAAGAAACACTTTGACTATTCGCTTTGGAGAGAGACCGGCTTATTTTTATGTATCATTTCTTGATCATGTAACACAAGCATATGTTTTGTACATTCTATTTTCATAATTTGCTAATGCTGAAGCTTTGTATTACAAAAGACTCAATAAAAGGTCAATCATAAAAAAATTATTCTGAGATTGAATTTTATTATACACTTATCAGTGGAAAGTGGTGTCCCCCCCCCCATCCAGTGAATGTTTCCACCTCGTTCTGTTCAATGTATGGACATGTATCAGATTTTGATCTTATACTTCTGTAAATTCAAGGCTTAGTTCCTTGAACTAAAAGTTAACACAGAAGTTTGCAGGAGGAAAGTTTTAGGTCCCTTCCTTTTGCCAGCATGCCTGCTCTTCCGCAGAAAGCTACTCTGAAAAGTCAAGAAGGCCCTCTTAAACAACATGAGATATAGACCCTCCAGGTGTCCCTATTTTCCAGGGACAGTCCTGGATTTGAAGAAGCCATCCCAGTTTCTGATTTGATCCTGGAATGTCCTGCTTTTCCTTAGGATGTCCCTATTTTCATCAGATAAATGTTGGAGGGTATGGAATAGGATATCCCTATTTTCATCGGAGAAATGTTGGAAATAGAGTGCAGGCCTGGTGCTGCTGCAGAGAGGACGAACTGCCTAAAATTGAGGTTGGATCCTAAGATAAGTTAACTTATCCTAGGAGTAAAGTATCCCATTCTTTCTCTCCTCTAGTAGCCCACCATGCTCCATTTTATATTATTCAGGAGGGCCCTTTGATCTTCTACAGCAGGCATCCCCAAACTTGGCCCTCCAGGTGTTTTGGGACTACAACTCCCATCATCCCTAGCTAACAGGACCAGTGGTCAGGGATGATGGGAATTGTAGTCCCAAAACATCTGGAGGGTCGAGTTTGGGGATGCCTGTTCTACAGAGTCTTTTCAGAAGTCTGAGGGTAGCAAACATTCCTTCTGTGAACTTGCTTAACTTAGTATACAAGCCAAAGCTAACCTATAAATTAGAAAAAGGCACTCACTTTATGGATTTCCACGAAACACTAACACAAATGGGAAGCAGTTCTTGCTAAAGGAAGGAGGGCTTGATTTCTGCTAATCCTCCCTTGTTCCAGCTCCCTGTATCGTATCTTGAGAAGGTATCTCAGTCCTCAAGGGTAGCTTTTTGGGGGTTGTAGTGGAAAAGAAGAGGTGAGCAATCGCCTTTCCATAAGTGAAACTCCTCTTGCAATATTTGGGACTTAAATAATTATGACTCCAAATTTGTTCAGAGGTTACAACTGGAAATACCAGGTGTAGGATATATACTGTTTTATAGCTACATAAACATTTAGCTTGTGTTATTTCATTTTTATTATGATTATTATTCTCATACAAGCTTCAACAACATGGCATCCTCATGGTTTTGTCTTCCGTTTCTCATTCCTTAATACTTCTGCATATAAAGAATGGCAATTGTGGTCTGTTTTTAGATAAGTTGTTACAAAATCTAACGCTTGAACAACCTAAATTACCTCAGCTCTCTGCTGTTCGAAAAAATATTCAGGAAAAGAAGAAATTGTCTGGTTAGATAGCTTTCATTGTTGTTGGGGTTAAATAGAGTGTTTGGCAAAAACATGATGTATCAGTAAAGAAATAGGTGTATAATGTATATAGGTATACATGCATGTTCTTTTCTCTCTTGACTCTTCTCCTGTGGCGTTGGGGGAAATGGATTGGGTGGGTGTTGCGAGGAGGCCAGGAATTTGGGCAGCTGATTTGGGGCAAGAATATCCAGATCCAGTGGCCCTTTAGAATCACTGGCTGCATCGCGATCAACTGGGCAGGATTCTGCTCCTCCTGCAGGGAGACCTCAGTTTCAGGGTGTGGCACAGCTGCCCTTGACAATTCTAAATTTAACTTTATCAAAGATTGGAAAAGAAATTTATTTAAATAAAATTGACTCCTTGCAAACCATTTGATTGTCCCTCCTCTGCTACTTCTACATCACAAATTATTCTCTAAGGGAATCAACACTGAACACTAATGTGAAAGTGTGTTCAGCTATTGTGATTGGAAATGAATGGTGTATAGGATTGCTTCCACAGCAAGCTCTTCCATTTCAAATCGGGTCAGTGACACAAAATCTCATGTCCCTGCTGCTTTTTCAGTAGTGGTGCTTGCTTGCACTTCCAAGCCATTGAACACAGCACATTCTTCTTCTTCTTTTCTCATAGAGTAAGAATCATTCAGCTCTTTATAAAGAAAATCCACAGTGGCCTTGTTAGTGAATGTAGAGCTGTTGGGCTCTTGATTTCCAGCCAAAAGCTAATGTCAGACTTAATGAGATTGACTATTGAATCAGGCAGACAAAAAGGCATAAGCTGGCCAAAGCCAGAACCTTTTGTGTTTTTGTTCAATCAAAGTTTAACCTACTTTTGAATTTAGTACTGTGTTTAATTAAAATAAGCCAGTTTGCATTTCTAGCTATCAAAAAGGGAGCTGGCGTTCCTTTTTTTATGATGCTTTTTAAGAAATATTGGGGCTGGGGATTTAAAAGTACTTCTTGAACTTGGGAAAGCAGCCAACATCTATATTAAAATAATAGCTTAATTTGTAGCTGTCAGGAAACCGTCAGCTGAGAAAGCAGCTTTTATTAATTAGAAATGAAGTGTGTTAAAGTTTCCATAATAGAATCTTTCAAAATGTCTTTGAAACATTCAGAGAAATGTCACAAATAAGGAAGTGACTTTGCTTTAGAAAATGTGAAAAAGTCAAATTGAGGAGGAAGGAAGTACCACGTGAATTTTCAAAACATTGTTTTGCCTTTTTTTTTTTTTGAAAAGCTGAAAAAATGGGTTCTTTGTATGTTGAATGCCTGCATGTAGATTTTATTAGCCAGTTTTGTAACATTTGAAACAGACCTCATGAGCATAGTGAACCTGGTCAGTTCTTTCTTGATTTCTGTTTTGTTCATTACATGTAGCGAAGTTGCTGTGCTAGCAAAAAAATAAGCTAAGAATTTTTAAATGAACGGGAGGAGGGGGAAATGTATGTAGGTCAGTCCTTTTCTTGTCTCTTGATATGGGCTTGTCTTGTGAAACCCATGGCAAGAGAACCTTCAATCTTCAAGGCAACATGTCCTTTACTAGGCTCCATTTCCGGCACTTGGAGTTGCAGGGAGAGGCTATAGTTATAAGCAAGCTTCAGATTGCTTTAAGGCAACAGAATAAGCACCTAACACATGTGTTTGCCTTCCTCATGCTAGTAACAGCAAGATTTGATGACAGCTTTTTCTTAGTGCACTCTGAGAGTAGGCATATAGTCTTCATCACAGAGATCAGGAAAATTGAACCAATTTGTAGTCAGAAAGCCCATGGCTGTGTTTAAATTTAGCCCATACTGCTGCTTTCACAGCAGTGAGAAGCAAACCTCTGATCGAAATCAATTTAGACTGTCAGTCAACTAACTGTAGCAGAAATCTGTTTTTTCCAGCATCTTACTACAGTGATGTAAGCAGCTTCTTTGCGGGGCCTTGGGTGGGTGGGGGAATACTAAGGTAAAAGTTTGGATGAGAGGGATGGTAGAAATGTCTTGGAAGCTTACAACGAATTGATGAATACAGAGTGATGTGGGTGAAATGACCCAAATAAAAAAGAGGAAAGTGTCAAGGATTTCCTAACAAAAATGGACAGTCTGTGTTGAAGGAAACGAATGGAGAGAGAACTTGATAGGCAAATGTGACACGAGGCAGATCTGTAACCAGATTATTGAACAGATGTAAAAGGATAGAATGGTATTAATATTTAACACTTAGAAAACACCTAAACTTTTTAAGCGTTATACATATGTTTAAAGATAAGACTGTCACTGCCTGCCTTGTGATCACAGGCTATCTGCCTGGTGTTGGGGAAGGGGCAAAGTGTGCTTCTGCAGTCCCAAGTAACAGGCAGTTGGAGCAAAATATTCTTTCATGCAGGGTTGCGGGGAGCATTCCCTCTGCAGTTGTTCATACTATGACCGATGAAAGAGATCTGGATATATTGCAGATGTTCTATTTTCCAGGTGTCTAATATGTAACAGCACTGACTGCTTGCTTCACAAAACACAAGTGGCACGCTTCTGCACACAAGCCTTGCAGCCCTTCTTGGCAACTGTCTCATACACAGGCTACCTTGAATTTTATTTTATTTTATTAAATTTGTATACTGCCCTTCATCCAAAGATCACACCTACATGTCATCAGCCGAGAGTTTATTAAACCTGTAGTATTACAATGTCCATACAGAAGTATGCAATGGGTTTATTACTGGAAAAAGAGAGGTCTTTCTAATTTTCCAATAATTCACATAGCCCAGATAACGATGGTTAATTTTTTTTAAAAAAAACTGATGTTTCTTTTGCATTTCTGTGACCTTGGTATAAAAGTAGATTGAAATGCGTAAGCTTTGTTGTTAGCAGAGTCGCTTTGTTTTTTCTGCCTCGTTCCTAATAGGATTCTTTTTATTGTTGCTTCTTTCCTAGGTGGCCACTTCTTTCACCGTAATTCCCTCTCTCCTCGGAGCCTGGTTTATGAGAATGACTTCTCTTCCATTGAGCCTGTCTTGGACATGTATGATGAGAACAAGACCTGAAGGGGATCTGCATTCTTCTTGCTTTGCTCTCTTTCCCCTTTCCTTTTCCGTTTCTCATTCCTATTGTTGTGTACTCCTTCCATGGGTGTCCTTTGTCTGAAGAAGAGCTGCCTTTTCCAGAACATGTGCCTGGCTGCCAGGCTGCAAAGGTGAAGCTCAGCTGAGGCAATATCCAAGGATGACATCTGTAAACGGATGAAGTGTGTGCACAAAGTCGGCTGTTGGAGGTTGCCGAGTGACCAAGTTGTCATTAGCAGTGCCAGCGGGATGGTGTTGGTATGCTAGAGGTTTTGCCCTACTCTCAGTTTTAATTTTGTACAACAGTCACCTCTCGAGTAGGCACATGATATTTCTCTTCTTTTTTTAAAAAAAAAAGTTGCAGTGTTTGCCAGCTTAGTTGCCTGATGGAGGAGGTGGTAGGCTACATGCCCAAAGCGCTCCAGTTATTCTTCATTCTAACCTTGATCTTACACTGAACATCCCCATTCCAAAGGGATCTATGAGAAATGTATTAATGTTCCAGCTTTCCATTTAACAAGCTGATGGCAGAACAAGCCAATGTTACAGCAGCATTACAGCCTGCAATATTCGTACAGGATTTTTCAGGGGTGGGGGATGAGGGTTCCTACTTCATTGCTGCGGTTAAATATGAACAAAAGCTGCTTAGAAAGAATGCAAAAAAACAAACAAAAACAGCCATTTTTACAGCCTTCCTGCTGAAGGAATCTCAGACTGATGCTGCTGCTGAAATTTATAAAACCAATATTTGATCTTTAGATGATTAAGACTTCTTAAGAAGAACCCAGGAATCAGAAATAGGTTATTGCTTGTTTTTTTAAAAGGTGTGTACTTTTTCACTCTGATTTTTAAAAAGCCACTTACGTTGGTGTTACATACTGAAAGAACTGGAAGCATCCTTCATACATTTTTACCTGAGATAACTAATCATAAAGCAACAAACACTTTTCTGAAGCTACACCTGTTCCAGAGGACATCAACAGTATGAATCCAGTATGGAGGAAATGCAGTTGCTACTTTGACATCCAGGAGTAAATCCATATTTACTAGAATGGGACAGTGGCTGTAGGAAATAAACTTTCCAACTGATGCAAAAATGGACAGCTAAAAGAACAAAGACTATAGGGTGTGTGTTTTTTTAAGTAGTTGGCAGTGTTGCTTAAGCAAAAAATAGCAATTCGGAACAAAATTATGCGATGGTGCATCTAAAGTAGCTTTTCCTACTCTGGGTGCTGCATAAAATGTAACAATTGAGAATAGTCGTTCCCCCCCATTGCAAATCTGAGCTGCTGTAGAGATAGAAGTGGTATGCTTGTAGTTTGGACACTTAATGCTCTTATGAATCTTGATTGTTGAAGAAATTGAAAACCAAAAGAAAAGGTAAGGAATGTTGCGTGGGTGTCTCGTTCCATTCAGGCAGCTTACAGATGAAAAATGTCTTGTTTTTCTCCTGCAGAAAGCGGGCTTTCACAAGATCTCTCCTGCCCTGAAATGTTGTGATGCTGAAAGTTTTATGCAAAGACTTGAAATTAGCTCTGTGAAGCTAAGTGTTTCTTCGTTAGCAGGAATGCCCTTTCTGTGTTGCTGAGATGGCCATATTGTGTGTCTGATCATTCTTAACTGGGTGATACAGAGCTTAGGGACTTAGCACTGGCAACCGTTTTGTTTGTTATATGTGCCAGGTAAGTTTTAATGTACTCCACTGAACTGTAAGAGATTCTTTACAAAATCTATTTAAAAGCACAGTCTTGAAGTATTGTGAATGAAAGTTTGATGATTTAGTGGAGAAGATCAGTAATACTGATCACATGATTACAATGATATTATTTAAATGGACACACAAAGTCTAGCATTCATTTTTCCTTTTACAAACTGCCAATACCATACACTTCTCTGATGGCAAGAAAGCATCTTATGAAAGAAGTGTATGTAAAGTGCTCTCGTATTGCAGAGTTTTTAGTGCATAGCTAGAATCTTGGTTAAAAAACGCCTAAAACAGGTTCTGCCCCTGCCCAATCCCTTTTATTAACTATACATCTGCAATTACTCACATATAATAAATCACAGTAGTTTACCTGATTTTAAAATTTTAATTAGCTGAAGTTAATTTTAAAACTGAACTGTTACTGAACTTTACTGAATTCTTACAGCCATAACATTGAAGTATTTAAGACTGGGTGTTTAGCAGGATGTTGTGGAATGTTCAAAGGTCACTGTGTAGGCCCATAGCCTGAAAGGCAATAAAATATATTAACTGGATAAACTTTTAGAAAATGGTAATTGGAAGCAAAAATACCAGTAATTCTTTGTGCACAGAGAAAATGTAGTTCAATCAGTGGTTGATTTCAATGAGATTTAAGTGTAATTACATTCCTTTGTATTTGCATTTTAACGGGTGAATGGTAATATCATCATGTTTTTAACAGCTTCAGGACACTATTTTAACCAAACTTATACCGTTTTTAGCAAGATCCAGGCTTCTCCTCCTCCTCCTAACTTAATGGATTTTCAAGCTGGAATCATTCTATACAGATGAATAAGGCAACTTATGATTTAGGGCATTGTTTGCTAGATATAAACAATGTTTGCTCTCCAAATCAAGGAGAGAGCTATTGTTTGAACATATACAGCTGCTGCTATAGAGTCAGATCATTGGCTCCTCTAGCATCATATTGCCTGTTCTGGCTGCCAGCTGCCCCAAATCCCAGGCCTGCTGCCCCAAATGCTTTAAAATAGAGGCACTACCATGGATGAGTTTGGTATCTTCTGCATGCGAAACCTATGTTTTCTCACTGAGCTATGCTCTGCCCTCTCTCGTTTCTAGAACATGAGGCAGGGCAATCAGAATTCAGTGAACTACAGCTGGCCACTTTACTAATATTTCTTTTTGGTATCTGAGGCATTGGTGGCAGTGCCTGAAGCTAAGAAAATAGAGCAATGAAAGGGAAACATGGAAGCCTTAAACAAACTGTAGTTACTATTGAGTTATCTGTCTGACTCAGAATGTTGCGCCCTACTGCGGCCGTTCAACATCTCTTGGCTCATGAAGAACCTTGACAGTTGCCACTGGAGCATATTCTGTGTCCTGATAACTTGGGAATGGGCAGCAATCAAGAAAAGCCTTCAATTGTAGCTTTTCAAATGTGGCTTTTGTCTGAGCTGTAAATTGTAGTATCCCTCTGAACAATAAAAGCAAACAAACAAGCCCCCAGAATTCACAAGAAAGCACCCTTCGGAAAAGCCTAGTGCTGCTTAAACTTCAATGATTCCTTAAGTAGATGTCATCAAGATTGGGCCTCCTTCCCCTATAGATCTTCCTAAACATAAAATATTTTGCTATCTTGAGAGAGAATGCAGTAGGGGGGTGAGCTCTAATTTAAGTATTATGTATTGCCCTTTAAGAACAATGGTGGCTTACGTTCAGGGGCATATATTTTATCTTGACAGTATCATTCACTCTTTTATTTACCGTATTTTTTGCACCATAACACTCACTTTTTTCCTCCTAGAAAGTAAGGGGAAATGTCTGTGCGTGTTATGGAGGGAATGCCTACGGGTGGCATGCCTACGGATTTTCCTCCTCTAAAAACTACGTGCGTGTTATGGTCGGGTGCGTGTTATAGAGCGAAAAATACGGTAGCCCATGATGGGTTTTAAAAAATAATAATAATCAAGATTTCTGAACACAGGTCAGACCATGATGTGAGCACACATTGATTCATTCTCAAGACTAGAATGTTTGTACATAATCAGCCCAAATTTGGGGTGGGCAGGGTGGGGTTGAGATGGATTTGGTCTTGTGAACCTACTAGTTTGCCATTGACACTGTTGTGAAAAACAGTATTTTTAAAATAAAAAGACAACTGGGGAAATCGGCTTGTACATAAACACAAGTTTTAAAACTCCCATCCTGCTTATATTTGGCTACACTCCAAGCAAAAAAACAGCTTGCATAGTTTTTAAAGATGTTTATATTACATGTGAAATGGCTGTTCAGTCTTCTCACTTAAAAAGTGCAGCAAATACTTAGCCCAATATAAGAATTGTGGTATACATGGTTTTTTTCTTCAGAGTTTATCCCATGTAAGAAAAAATGTGAGGAAGTGGCTCTTCCGAAAGGGATTCTTCATGTGCCTTGCCATCCAGCATTGCACAAGTACCCCTAGCCAACTACAGAGACTGGGTCCTGCTCTGCAACTTTCTAGAGAGCATGCATTTTATTAATATCTGGGTGTAGCTACTTATTATAGGTAACACAAAAACAGGTAATGCAGGCATGGGGGTGGGGCTTGTCTGTTTCTAAATTTATTACACTCCCAAAGATTTCAGGCAGTTCATTTGAAAGATTAGTTAATTGCACACATCCTTGTTCGATGTTTTCCCCCTATATGTGTATAACTAATTTACCTAGTTAAGAATGCATTTTAGCAGATGTAGTACTTAAGACTTATATTGTTTTTGTTATCTAATTCCCTAACTGTCGCTTTGTTCAAGAACTGCACAGGCATGTAGAGGCTATACTATTACAAGTAAAGTAAACTGTGGCTCAGTTGATAGAAGCTAAGTCCTCTCCTTTTCCTGTTACTTTTCTGGGGTTTATTATTGCAACTGGAGGAAATTGTAGCAATGATAGACTGTGGTCTGGTCCACACACTTAACAGTCATTTTCGCATTGTGGAGCAGACATAATCTTCTCACCCACTGCATAACACCACGCATCACATACAGCGAACAGTTCACTAAAAGGCCCAAATTTCACAACTTGATTTCACAAGCCAGTTTCACATGATTTCCCCTTGCCTCTGCATGAGACACTCTGTCTCATCTTATGTTCATGGGGCAGGGGTGGGGGGGGAGAGGAGGGATAGTTATAGGGCATGTCAAGTCATAGAATCATAGAGTTGGAAGGGACCCTGAGGATCATCTAGTCCAACACCCTGCAATGCAGGAATAGGCAGCTGTCCCAGATGGGGATCAAACCTGCAACCTTGGCGTTATCAGCACCACATAACCAACTGAGCTAACTGGTATGCACCTTCTTCTCCAGTGTATTCACAGGATTGAGGGCTAATACATGAACAAGACCATTATCCACAAACTATTTTTAAAAGGTGTGCGTATATTAAAAGCCAGTTTCACTTGTAAATTCCTAGGAGATAGGCACGCACAATTAAGACTAACAGCCCTAAGAAAATGTGATTTTAAAAAATGTGAATATGAATAGGAACCATACACATACAAATTGACTGTTGCAGTGAGGGCAAAAATGTGGGTAAAACAGTAACTTTGGATAAATGGTTTCTGCAAATACTTCAGTTAGGCAGAATAGTAACCCATGGACATATCCACCCTACAAATAAATGAAAGTCTGTTTTGTACCACTATTGCCACCTTTGTGCCAGAAAGAGAAGGGTGTATTCAATCTAGCCTGGACTAAAAATAATCATTGACTAATGCAATCAGCAAAGTGTGTGAGCATGGAAAAGGATAGTAAAAGTTGGTGCCTTCCCACTTTTAAAGATGAGCATTTTTTTCCATTCCTGGACTTTAGACAGCTAGTGTTCTTCCTTCCATAGGAGGCAAACCACTTTACCTTGGCATCTGTGTTTTTATTGGTTGTGATAAAGGAAGCTGGTAGGCTTGTTTTGCACAATTTTAGAGCTGGAAGTTCATAAGGCATCTAATCTATCTACTCCTGCTTGGTGTTTCCTGCTTGGCAGGGGGTTGGACTCGATGGCCCTTGTGGTCTCTTCCAACTCTATGATTCTATGATTCTATGATACTCCTGAATAAGTGTATTTACATATAAACCACCGTTAAAAATATTTCTCTAACCTTGTTTAAAAATGCCCAGTGACAGAGACTCCCTTAATAACTTGTTCCATTCATTGTTGCTTCCTAATTATTCCTCTTACTTAATAATTTCCCTTGCTCATTTTCTGATTCATGTTCTAACTTGTGTGCCACACCCTCCCACACCCAATAATACTGTTTTTCACAGTAGTTATGAGTCCATCTCTATCCAGAGGGCATATCAACATATTTAAAACATGTAGTCCTATACAAAGACTCTGTTTTCGCAGCAAGACTGCATTGATGTGCCCTATGTGAATTTACAGAGATTATACAAAGTAAGAAGCATCTGCATCATGGTTCCATGACGTTCAGTTGTTTACAGTGACATCTAGTGGGGAAGAAGGGGGTAAATCAGCTCTCCAGGCATTCATCTGATGTTTAAACAATGAAAACTTGTTGAGTCCTATTGTTTGGCCTACATAGGAAAGAAAAACAGACATATAGCAACTTTTCAAGCAGACATTGCTGTATCCCCCACTTTAACCTTTTCTTCAACTGACCTATTATTTGGTGAAATCAGCGTATTATGGATGGCCTTCTACTAGGTGCTATTGGGGTAAATGAAGTAGGCATAATCCTTTCTGTACAAAACTTAGCAGCTAACAAGAGAATAGTTTGGTTTTATTGTTCCTTTTTCAAGCTGTACTTGGCCTGTAAAACATTTGCAGTTAGAAGGCTTGTCTACCCTCCTGTCACTCCCATATGTGTGGAAAGGGCTTCACACCCTCTTAGATTGTATTTATTTATTGCAGTTGATTGGTGCAGTCAAAACTGTATTATAGTTGTACTGAAGCAGCACAACTGCACTAATGGGTAGTGCAGTTGTACCAAGGATCGCTGCTTCTCTTCAAAACAGTGCCACTTGAACCACACAGCCTGTTTTTGGCAGTGCTCCGTTTGTAAAGCTTATCCTAGTATACAGTTGCAGTGATGGGGGGGGGGGAGCTGCACCTCTTGAGTTCCCTTCTGTCACATGGC